CGGTCCCAGATCGTATAAGCATGTTTTTATCTGTCGATATATACATGTTTATGTTTATGACAAACAAGCTACCGTAGCCAAGGGACTATGTACAAAAACTTGAACTGCAAATAGGTTGAATAAGACAAACGAGAACCGCATAAAATGGGAGATTAACTGTTCAGTTTTTCGAGGCTGGAAAAACGAAAGCGAAGACAGCTGGAAACGGCAAGGCACTGGAAATGATAAAATCCATTTTGAAATGCGCAATGCATTCTTGACTTCAGTGAGCTCAACGTGAAAATGACAACTCTTCTCGATTTGAAGACTTTGATTCAAAAGTAAGATTCGCCGAAGCACGTTCTCATAACCATGGACCGCGTGTCCACCAGTCTATTCATTCATTCTGCTGAACGATTAGAGGCAATCGTTCAGTTCAGTCCTAGAGCCAGACAGGTATCAGCGATGTTGCGAAAGATATGCGGAAACATCCTTCAGCGAATGCACACCAGCCTGTTAAGGCAATGAAAGCAAAGCGCCCGTATACTTTATTCTCACAGGATAGCTCAAAATTAACATATCCTTAAGACGTCAGAACCAGCGTTCAAATGATCTTCGACCCTTTCCAACTATTTCCATGCTGTCGAAGTGCATTCAAAACACGAGGAAGTCACATGTACTTAGTCACATGTCAAAAGATTTAAATTACACCTTTTGCCTACAAACGCAAGCAACATTGTGTATTGTGTAGGATCAAAGGTCAATTCAAGTAGGATCGAAGAAGTTGCATCACGAAGACATTTTGGTTTAACATTTTCTTAACACTCTGCCATGGCCAAGACACTTCGCGTGATTCATCGTCTCGGTATTAAACCTCGTGTTTTGAATCAATCAACTGACTGACTAAACGGCTCCTTGCCCTAACACCGATGACACTGTTCTTAAGTTTGCTAGCCAGAAAACTGTACCATCCAAGATGCCGATACTACGTTCATCACCAAGTTCATCATCATCAAGCAAGACGCGTGAGGTACGGTAAACTAAATTAGCCGTAAAACGTTTCCCTAAGGCTACAGACAAGGATTCAAGTTTCGTCTCGCCGGATCCATCATCGAATCAACATCGCTTTGACAGCGTGAAGATGGTTCTTATGATAACTGCGCCGTGCATTCGGTAGTCTTGTTGTATGAATTTCATGGGCGCAGACAAAATGGTGATAATGGTGACCTTGTGAAACTGTGTTCCAATACACCGTGTCATTCCTCTCCGTACCCTTTCAACCGTCTTCATGCCTTACTGAGTTACTTAGGGAGGGGGCAGGGTAATAGAATATTGATAGGAAGTTAGTTTCAAACTTCAGAGATGCAACATTCGCTTTACGAAAAAGAAAATATTTTTTTAACTGCTTATTCATGTGAGCAAGGAATTCTTGCCACGTACACTGGGCGCAATAAGCCGCAAAACGGTAGCATGTCGTAGAATTGCGAGCAATTATTCCGATACTATCACATGGCAATGGACAAGAGGTACGGTCAGGTAGAGCGGCATTTCGTCTGACCCACCTGCTAGCTGGTTTTCTAATATGATAATCAACGGAAATTGTAACACCTGTTGTTTGTCGTTATTACTCGTTCGTCTGAAGAATTTTACCGAAGCGAACAAGATGACATGAATCGACGCGTTAAATTTTCCATCCACTCAAGTGACAGTTTCCACAAAACGCGTAGGAAGAACGCTTCAAAGCGCACGAAAGCTTGTCACCACTTTCTGTTAGTTGTTTGCATAAAGTCGCACGGTTTCATTCATATTACCTGTTGGTGGGATGGACTGAAGAAAATTTGTCTGCTGCATTTTCTGAGACACTTCAACGAATAAACGAAAGCTTAGACTCGAAACTGTACAATGACCGAAAAGTCAGTCTGCAAGTCAGAATAAAGTAAGGTTGAGAATACTGTCGTCAGCTGCCTACGGTAGTTATGAAGAGATGCCTTGAAGCCGGGCGGATCAGTAACAAGGCAGTATTGCTGCTGTCTCTATCATCTACTACTAACAAAGCATGAGCAGAATTGCTCAGAGCGATGAAATCTGGAATGCAATAGCTTCACGAGTACGCTGGACGTTAATTATCGGTGTAGCAATTCCATTCACTAGCAAATATAGTTTCATGTGCTATTTTCAGTTTAATACTGTTCTCTAATGTGTATGAGAATAGCATTTGGCTCTTAGGAGAGAAAACAGTAGCAATAATTTTTAATGTCATCTTGGGTCATTTCAGCTGATGGAATATCTGCATTGTTGTTAGAGCCTTAGGTGGCAAAAAAGAAAAGGGTAGTATATAACCTTACACTTTCAGTCTTTGACAAGACCACTTTATAATGAAGCTTACGATGGGGCGCTCTCTCCACTACGATACCAGTGGTCAACAGTGTGATATTTTTGGTAAGAACATCTATAGGTAAGTGGGTATTGCAGCTTTGGTTTATACGTGATGAAAAGCATGTTTCTATCGGTATCTTTTTCTCTAAGCTGTAACTTTTATCAACTATTCAATGTATAATTCTCTTATCTAGTCACTTCTTCGGTTTTACCTACGCACAGTTTCCTTGCTTCTAGTAGTGTAGCAGACGTTTATGTTACTTTTATCGGAGGTACTGAAAACCAGTCGTTTACAAGCAAACCCGTCATAACAGTTTATTTTAGGTATACATACCTAAGAACAGTGATACATTCGTTAGTGTTCGAATATGTTTTGTTCATACCAACAAGGTGGTGCTGTTTGGAGCCAATCCTCTGCAGCTGCTAATATGTTATGGAGCCGTGGAACGCTTAAACGGCATCCTGGGCTACTCGAAGCAACGAGACGATACGACTACGCTGTGTAAATCCAAAAAAGTGACAGGAGAATGTTATTGTTGCCAGTAGTATTGAAAACTAGCAGCATGTTAGCAAGCCTACAATATCGAGGGCATATTTTTGGTATTCACGGATAGTTTCTTTCTTCATTGCCACACAATGGTACTCACTTGTGCTGCATGGAAAAAGGAAAGACCAGTCGATACATCGGGAGTGGAACTCTCAATCTGTTAACTGCTCGATGTGTCACTGACCGAGTTATGCGAGCGTTGGAGCTGGAAATCATTGTCGAAGTAACAACGAAACGATCACCGTGTAGAATGGCGCAACATAAGCGGTAACCAGCAAGGTATTATTTTAGTAAATACAAACGATGCTGGAAATACAGACGCAATGTAGGTACTTAAATAACAGCGATGTTGATTGGTCCTTTGATCAGCGATACTGATCTGACCTCTGATACAGTGAGGAGTAAAGGCAGGGCATGCCCTT